GGGAGGGAGAGGCGAGCAAGGGAGGAAGAGCCGAGCAGGTTAGGGAGAGGAGAAGGCGTCCCGTCTTGAGGGGAGTGCGTGCACACCTAACCAGGAAAACAACTTATTGAGATTCAAAACCTCTTTGCCAAGACCGCAGCATAAAACATGAAACAAATCCAAAATACACAAAATATATATCCAATTAAAGATACAAAATCAAGTTCATCTTCTTCAATCGGGCACCGTTTGCTCATCTGGACCTTCTACCAACAGTCCGGTTTTAGGAGATCTGGTCCTCAGAAACCAGTTCCTCAGGATGTTCTTCTTTTCTCTTCCAGTGTTAAAGAAATGTCCGATCCAGAACCTACAGTGTCCTCGTGGTCTGCAGGAGCCGGACTTCCTGGACCTCCTGAGGTCCACCTTCCCTCTGCTGGCTCACGGAGAACCTTTTGATGTCTTCCTGACGTCCACGAGCCAAAAGCTCCTGCCTCTGAGAACCAGAACTCTGACTCCAGACGAGATCCACAGGTCCATGAAGTCCACCGGGAACTCTGTCCTCTACATCCGACTGAAGGTTGTTGGACTCTTTGTTCTCCTAAAGGTTCTCCGGCTTCTGTCAATGTTCAGACCATTTCTCCAATGAGCCTAGTCCATGAAGAGAGCTGTGCTTAGGTTAACAGCTTCAGGTCCAACATGGAGGAACCAGGTTTACGTATTCCTGTCAGTTTTAAGGTTTTCTGTTCCTAGACCTCCGGATTTGGACTTGAGGTTCCACCTTTAGTCTCCTGTGGAACAAAAACTGGTTCAGTGTTGACCGAAGCTGGAAGCTCCAAATGATTCATCTGTCTGTGGAGAAGTTGAGGAGAAACTCACCAGAGAAACATCTATTTCAGAAAGGAGAGGACAAAACGGGAGAAGAACCAAGCTCCCCTGGTCCTGATCCTGGTCTTGTTCCTGATCCTGGTCCTGAGCACCGTCTGAGGTACAGGTTTGATTAAAGAATGTCTGATGTTCAGGTCTTTATGGTACAAACCAAAGTCTGTTCTGGATCAGGTGGTCTTTGTCGATCCTCCGTTTATCAACAGTCAAAGATGTAAGTGACATCACAGACTGGAGACCCCTCACTGACCACCCCTCTTCTGCTGGGTCATGGTCAGGTCTCGGACAGAAGTGATTGAGGCTGTGGAGCTGAGGAAGGAGACCTTTAGGTTCTGCTGATCCCAGAAGCACCAGGGGAGTCCAGGACCCACAAAGGGACTGGTTTCTGCGGCTGCAGAGTAAAAACTGGTGCATGGAAGGACTTCCGGTTGAACTTGAGGAGGTTCTCAACCATTCTTTTACCTTAAAGGTGAAAACTGGGCCTGTCTCAAGTGGTTCTTGGTTCTGTTGAGGAACTGATGACCTTACTGGACACTTGAAAGATCTTAGTCTGGTCACCTTGTCCACCATTAAGCGGCAGAACCTGAGGACTTGGTGGAAGGTCTGTTTGTAGTAACTCTTTACTACGTGGATACCTAAATCATTAAATAAAGCAATCTGACACCTTGGTTCTGATTTGACAGCAAAGTCAGGGTTTATTGTACAAAACTGTTGAGCACTGAAGAGCACAAAGACCGGGTCTTTGCTCAGACCTTTGGACCACTCTCCTCTTCCTGAGCGATAAAAACATCTTCCTTTTCTGGAAGAGCAGGTCAGTGTGACCCAGAACATTCTGCAACTTTCTGCACCCTCACAGAGCCTTGTGTTTGCCAGAGGTCACCAGGATCCTGTTTTTAAACGGGACTCTGAGCCCCCCTGGAGGAGAGGCTCCAACCTCAGACTCAGGAGAGCAGGGTCTGGGTTTCCCTGCTGGACTAAAGGAGGATAATGGTTTGAACAAACTACAGGAGTTTGTTGAATCGTTCTACCAAGTTAAAACCCGACTACCCAACCTCCGCTTGTTTTAATCTTGTATGATCATTAAACTGATCCAGTGTTCTGTGCTTTGGTGCCATTGTTGCTCCTAAAAACATCACAGATCTTTCCATGGGTTCCCAACACTGGTCTTTGAGGAACACCATCCTGCATGTTTTAGTTGTTTCCCTGCTTTGACACACCTGGTTTGAATGAATAAGTGATCAACAGGTTTCTGCAGAACATGAGGGAGTAATAAAATCACTGAATCAGGCGTGGTGGAGCAGAGAAACCACTAAAACATGCAGGATGGTGTACCTCAAGGACCACTGTTGGGAATCACTGCTTTAGACATCCCAGAGAAAATGAGAAGACTAGCCGGTTTTTAATAATACTGTTCATAAGGCCATCGTTTAATATTTTTATTTTGTTTTGGCAGCTCTGTTGAAGGTGCAGAGGGAACTAGACGAGACGATCCAACTCACAGCTCAACGTCACAAGAACACGACCCGGAAAAGGAAGAGGAGGAAGCGGAGAACAATGAGGAGGAAGCAGAGAAAGACGAGGAGGAAGCAGAGAAAGACGAGGAGGAAGCAGAGAAAGACGAGGAGGAAGCAGAGAAAGACGAGGAGGAAGCAGAGAACGACGAGGAGGAAGCAGAGAAAGACGAGGACTCCGGTGGAGGTTCAGAGGAGTTTGACCCAGACTCTGACCAAAAACCAGAACAAAAGAAGGTTAAAGGTCACCGGAAGAGGACTGAAGAAAGTAAAGTGTCTTGTAAAGTGTGCGGGGTCTGGTACTTGAATCTGGCGTGTCTGATCAAACACATCTGGACCCATGTGGACGAGCAACAGGACGTGTGCGGCGTCTGCGGGGAGAAGGTCAAATCTGTGGGAAAGTTGAAGAAACATCTGAAAAATCACCAAAACGTCCACCGGTGTTCTGACTGTGGGAAGACCTTCACGTCCAAAAGCAATCTGAGGAGTCACGCCAGCAAACACGCCGTGAACCAGAGGTTCAGTTGCAACGTTTGCAGCAGAACCTTCAGAGCCAAGTCGGGCCTGAACTCTCACCGCTGGGTCCACGAAGAAAACAAGTCTTTCAAATGTGACGTTTGTCTGAAGACGTTCGGTGTGAAGTCGCAGCTCACGGCTCACAGAAAGAACCACACCAAGGAGGAGGAGCACATCTGCAACATCTGTGGGAAGTTTTTCGACAATCGCCGAGCTCTGGCCCGGCACAGGACCATCCACTTCGAGGAGCGACGCCACAGCTGTGAAGTCTGCAAGAAACGCTTCAAAGTGGAAGGCAACTTGAAGCTGCACATGAGGGTCCACATGGTCCGAGACCGACCGTTCCTCTGCCACGTCTGCTCCAAAAGCTTCCAAACAGAACCGGAATTATCGAGGCACCTGAGGACCCACGGAGATGAGAGACCGTTCATCTGTGATGTGTGCGGGAAAAGCTTCCTGTTCAACGGAGATCTGAGGAAGCACCTGACGATCCACAGCAGCGAGGCGCCGTACGAGTGCGCCGAGTGCGGCCGCCGCTTCAAAATCAAGAACAAGCTGACCCATCACGTCTTCCTCCATTCCGGGGTCAAGAACTTCGTCTGCGGGATCTGTGGGAAGGCCTTTTCTCAGCGGTACTACCTGAAGGTCCACATGAGGACCCACAACGGAGAGAGACCCTACAAGTGCACACTCTGTGACAAAACCTTCACCCAGAGCCACTGTTTGAAAACGCACATGAAGAGCCACCAGACCCAAGAGAACCCTGTCCCCGAGAACCAGACCCAAGAGAACCCTGTCCCCGAGAACCAGACCCAAGAAAACCCTGTCCCCGAGAACCAGACCCAAGAGAACCCTGTCCTCGGGAACCAGACCCAAGAGAAACCTGTCCCTGGTCCCTCCAAGTCCTGAGGGACCATCAGCCTGAAAACAAGAAGTTTGTGTGAAACCAAGTTTACGTTTTATTTCTCTGAACCATTTAGTTGTGGATTCTTCTGTTAGAAGTGTTACTGTCAGACTTTGATGAGTGTTCAAACCATCGGTGTGAAGTTTTATTGATCGACAACCTTATTTTATTTTGGTGTTTTGTTGATCAGCAGCCTCCTCATGTTCAAAGACCGGCGAGGACTTCTACTGAAACATGGCGTAAGTTTTAATCTGGAAAACAGCGCATGCACAGATAAATCCAGACGTATGAAACTGCGTACGCATCAATCCAGCTCACGTCCTGTGCTTAGCTTTTTTCTGTTTGGGATTAAACACAGGACGTGAGCTGGATTGATGCGTACGTATGCTTACGAATGGGACGTACAGTCCCAACCAGCAAGGAGCTGAGCACTCACGAGGGAATACCTGACTCCTCTCTCAACACGCCTCCGTTACATGTAATACCTGACTCCTCCCTCGACACGCCTCCGTTACATG